TTTTCATCCATCTATTTTGTTACTAATTCACTACACTACACTACTCTCTCTCTCTCTTTCACACACACACACACACACACTTTCTCTCTCCTTCCCTCTCTCTCTCTCTCTCTCTCTCTCTCTCTCTCTCTCTCTCTTTCTCAATACCAAATAAATTTCCCAATTACTGTCTTCTTTATAACCATTAAATTTTGGTTTATCGTAAAAAACAATTTTGAATGCAGGAAAAAGATTTAGGAGACGATATCCATTAAGGTATACAAATTTCAAATTACTAGCTACAGATTTACTGGTGAAACATGTCAAATAAAAAAACGTTATACTTGTACCAGTAATTATATCAAATGATGTCACCAATTACTTACCAATTGTAGAGCATTATGAAGAAAAAGAATAATTTCGTTGAAATCCAGTTTATACAATATTTGATGAATTTTATTCAAAAATTTTATGTTGAATAAATGTCAAACTACTATTCCCTAGGAATATGTTATATTTTTATTACTTATTTTTTATTTAGAAGTTAAAAACTACGCCACGTGTCGGCATCACCCACTATTCAATATTTGAATATTACCAGTATAATAATAAAAATCCACGACATCTATAAAGCGAATTTCAGTACATAATTCAGATACATAAAGAATATTCTCTATGTCATAATATCTAATATAGATAGCGTCTACGTACCTATATATAAATACCTATATAATATAAACTTCAAACTCGAGATCCTCTATGCCAAACCTAGACTGCAAACTCTGAATAATTTTTGAGTAATTGTCAGTTACTACAGAAAAACTCTCCACTAATCGTCTGGCCTTACTGGACTCTACTGTGACTTGTCTCAAATAAGCTATCTTATCAGTCAAATAAGTCAAATAAACTATACGATGTGACAGCGAAGGCAGGTATGAAATTACCTTGGTTGAATGAGCATCCTTTAATTTCAGATAATTTAGTTTTCGCTAGGAGAAGGTCTGATAGAATCATGACCACAATAAAAAATAAGAGTTGAATGGCGAACATACATACAAAACCTATTCTCAGACCATATAACAATAAATGTTGATAGACAAACAAACATCGAAAATAACGACTTGCCCATCTTAACATCAGAAATATAATACGCTTAAAAAAATATGAAAACCGTAAAAGCCTCTGGACCTGACTATGTTGATAGTGAAATTATACAACTTTTGGAAGAAGACAATTTAGAACTATTATCAAGACTAATTACTATTTAACTGGGAATAAGCCACAATTAAAGATAAAAATGCGTTTATTGACGTTCCAATTTCCACTTCGGAAATCGTTCTCAAAATACAAACAGTAAATTAAACAAATTTTGTTTTTTTTATTAAATTATCAAGACTCTTCAACAGTATATACAAGACTGATACAATTCCACATGATTGGTTAACGTCTACGTTTGTGCCTATACCTAAATCAAACTACGCAAAAAAAATGTAAAGACTTTTAAATAATAAGTCTCATGCCCCATATTCTGAAGCTATTTTTAAAAATTATCCGTAACAGAATTTACAAAAAATGCGAAGAAGATATGGGTCCAGAACAATTTGGCTTCCGAAACTCGAGAAGCTTTGTTCAGTTTCATTGTTCTCATGCAAAAGTGTCGGGATCAACAAAAAGATGTCTACTTGTGCTTTATAGATTATGAAAAAGCTTTTGACGAAGTCAAACACGATCAGCTAATAGAATGCTTGCAAAAAAAGAACCTGGATCCAAACGACATTAATACACTACGTGAACTCTACTGGAACCAAAACGCCTCTGTCAGAACTGAAATAGATGATACTGAAACCATGAACATCCAAAGAGGAGTTAGACAAGGTTGTATACTGTCACCATTATTATTCAACTTGTACTCAGAGGACATCTTTGCACATGCTCTGGATGAAGCACAAGAAGGAATAAAAGTCAATGGAAAAATTGTGAACAATATCAGGTATGCCGATGATACAGTACTGATTGCTGACAGTGAAGAAGAACTACAAATTCTGTTAACCAAAGTAGTGCGAGAAAGAGAACTATACGGCCTTAAGGTGAATGTAAAAAAAAACCAAAACAATGGTAATTTCAAAAAAACACACACCAGTTAGAAACATACTAGTCAACAATAATCTAGTTGAAAAAGTGAAAAAGGTTAGGTATCTAGGCTGTTGGATACATGAAACCTTAGACCAAGAACAAGAGGTTAAATGTAGAATAAATAGAACAGAAATACATTCATAAAGATGCGACAGTTACTCACTACCCGCAATCTTGATTTGTCCCTACGATACCGCATGATAAAGTGTTATGTATATAGTGTACTATTACACGGCGTGGAAGCTTGGACGTTAACAGTCGGTTCGTTACGACGTTTAGAGAGCTTTGAGATATGGGTATTTTGTCGTATGCTGAAAATTCCATGGACCGACCACGTTAGAAATGAAGAAGTTTTAAGGCGTATGAACAGAGAATGTGAATTCACAGAAATTGCCAAGAAGCGTAAAACGTCTTATCTTGGACACATATTTAGACACGACAGGTATAACTTTCTTCAGCTTATTATAGAAGGGAAAATAGAAGGCAGACGCGGCCCAGGTAGACGACACATGACCTGGTTGCGCAACATCAAAGATTGAACAGGATTAGACTTTCAAAGTTTAATAAGGAAAACCCAAAATAGGGAAGACTTTACAGAGGTCATCGCGAACCTTCGCTAAGAAGACGGCACCCAAAGAAGAAGAAGGAGAAGGTAAGATAATACTTTAAATAAGTTGAAAAGGTCTAATTTGTTTAAATCGTATAACTTTATATTCAAGGAGTAGGTTGAACGAGGGTGTGATTAAAGTAGTGAATAATCCAGAATAGAATAATTGCGTGCATTATTTACGTCACAGGCCCAGGTTAAAAATAATAGTGAAACCACACAAATTAGGCCAGTTTTTGACGCATCATCTCATGAACAGGGTTGTCCTTCTTTAAACCAGTATTTGGAGGTAGGGCCTAATCTTATTGAACTTATTCCTTCTCTTCTATTACGATTCAGACAACAAAAGGTAGGAGTTGTGTAGGATATTCGAAAGACTTTTCTTCAAATTTCTATACATTCAAATGACAGAGATTTTTTGAGGTTCCTATGGGTGAACGATGAAGGAAAGGAATTTGTATTTCGACACAAAAGCCTTGTTTTTGGAGTCAATTGTAGTCCATGTCTTCTGGGTGCCACTATAGAGTTTCATTTAACAAAGGCGCTGGAGGAATGTAAAACACAATTGAAAAGATTATGACTGGGTTTTATGCGGATAATTGTGTGACCAGTGTTACTGATGAAAATGAGGTGAGAGTATTTGTATCAGAAGTAATTGCCCTTATGTAGGAAGCTAAGATAGACTTAAGAGGGTAGGAGGCCTCTGGTAATACAAAAACAGTTGTCCCTGTTCTTGGTCTTCTCTGGAACTCTTCAAGAGACATTCTAAAAATCAATAGTGAAACTTTTTAAGGAATGGAATTAAATCGTCCCATAACTAAGAGACTGATGCTTTCCATAGCTCAGAGTATATTTGATTCTATTAGTTTTACCTGTCCAGTATCCCTATTCCCCAAACTGTTGCTACAGAAACTTTGGGAGAAGCGTCAGGGATAGGATACTCCAATCGAGAATGATATGGCTGAAGAATATTGTAATTGGGTTTCAACAAATGCCTTCATTCAAGCTTTTCGTCGCTTTGTTGCAAATCAAGGACGACCGAGAATAGTATATAGTGACAATGGAACAAATTTTACGAGATTCGAGAATGCGCTTAAGCAATTGGACTGGAATACTGTTGCGGAATATAGTTCTACACAACGTACTAAGTGGCGTTTCAACCCCCTACAGCTGCATGGTGGGGTGGATTTTGGGAGCGATTAGTAGGTATTGTGAAAGGACTTTTGCGAAAAGTTTTAGGTCGAGCGTCACTCAATTATGAAGACTTATTGACATTATTGTGTGATTGTTAGAGTATAATCAACTCGGGTCTGTTAACGTATCTTTCGGACGATTCTACTGAGTTAACCTCCCCAAGTGTGTTTTTAAAGAAACAGGTCAGTTACGAGTTGCCGGAATGTGATTCGCTAGAGCAGAATTCTCTCGCACGGAAAATGAGGCATTTACAAGAGTTGAGAAATCATTTGCGAAAAAGATTTGGTGCTGAATATCTGGCTCAACTCAAAACAGGAACGAAAAAGCCGAAGGTATCTAAAGTGTCTATCGGGAATGTCGTTTTAGTCGGCAATGACAACATCAAGCATGTTCAGTAACCTTTAGGAAAAGTTATTGAACTTATACCTGTGGAGGTCGTCGATACAGTTACTACTGGCGAGAATGTCCAAGCTAATATTCTACCCTGTGGAAGTCAGACGTTCCAGAGAGGTTACCCCAAGAGAACGTTGGTCGACTCCAGTTTTAGGAAGAACCAAGTGAAAAAAGTGCGGGAGTGATAAAAATCAGAGCATACAACTTAAATGAAAAATATACGCGTTGTGGCCGGGTGGTGAAAACTGGCCGGGTCTGAGAATGTATCATATGAATGAATATCATATATTATAAGAATATATTTAATTGCGTAGAGTTGGTCGGTCGAGTTTGTATCACCGAAGGAAACTGACTTAAATAAAAGTCACATTTGTGTATTTTAATACAAAAGTAATTTTTTTGTAATAGAAATTTAATTTTGTATTTTTTCGAACCAGGAGTCTCTTGCGAAAATTAATCGTAGGACACTCCAAATGTAATAAAGGATTTTTAACTTTGAACTGGAATTCGAAGGTAAATCGGATAGGCTAATTAGTAATTGGTACCGCCGAGATATGATCTCAGATCTCGACGGTCTTCATTCATTGATTTCTGTCTAAAGGCCTTAAGACGCTAGTAAAATGGATAAAATTATGTTAAAAATCTTTTTCTAAATTAATTTAAACATAAACTAAAACAATTGAACAATAAAAAGTAGCTATTTATATTCTTTATTTAGAGAAGTTTTACACAATTTAGCATTTTCCTGCATTATTGTCAACAGTAATATGGTAACCACCTTCTGGCTTGACTTCAATATACTGGGAGGAAATAAGTTCCTTAGCATTAGTTACCTTTCCATTTTCATTTATTAAATTATTAGTCATGAACACGTTAATTATAGCATCTCCATGATCCTTAGAGGTACTGCTTTCATCGCTTGCAGATTCACAAATGAAAGGTTTCTTTTGATCGCAAAATGCTGCTTCATATTTTCCTACGTTTGTAAGTCCAACACAAGACTTACTTTCAGCGCCTACACGAGCGATACCCCAGTTAAAGTACTCTATTGGTTTGTCTGATTGTTTCCAGATCCATTTACCTTTTACTCTTTCTCCATCAATCCAGTAAGGTCCATTAATAACTACAACAAAAATTTCATTTAAAATTGTCTATTTTATAAAATATGTTTTTTTTTGTAAATAAGGATCCTCGTTCCTTCTTATCTATAGTTCAAATATATATATATATATATATATATATATATATATATATATATATATATATATATATATATATATGTATATATATATATATATATAAATGTATATATATATATATATATATATATATATATATATATATATATATGTATATATATATATATATATATATGTATATATATATGTATATATATATAAATGTATATATATATATATATATATATTATATATATATATATATATATATATATATATATATATATATATATAGAACAAGTAAAGTTTTTGCTTAAGAACCTAACAAGTATTTAATAATAATGATAATTTTTCGACTGTTCTAACAACCATTCAAATTTCGTCATTTTGTGTCATGTGGAACAATTTCACCCAATCATGTCAACATTAGACTGATAATTGCATTCAGTGCAATTTTCAATCCCTATGACAACACGATCGAGTTTGACAACTTCATCCAAATAAATTTCAAAATGTCACATTTTTAATAATTTTAAATTAAAATTAAATTTTAATAATTGTACTTTCACTAACTGTAGTTTTAATAAATAAATGTTTCGTTATGTTGAGTTATGATTTTTTTTCGAAAAATTATCTGCCGAATATCCCTCGGACATTGATGAATGCCTCATAATTTCATGACAAATTTCTCAAGCTCGTTACTTGGTAACAGCACTCAGCCTTCGGCTTCGTGCTGTTACCAAGGAACGAGCTTTCGATTGTCATGAAATTATCTCGTCTGTTATCAATGTCCTAGGGATATTACCATGATACTATGAATAACAAGATAGGATCTTCCCGTAGCACAAAATCGGTCGTGTTCGCGCATGCCGTCATTGGAGAGTAGAATTTGAATTCTTGTTAAAGTTAAATGGGATTTGTATGCATTCTGTGATGAAATTACTAGACGAAAATAAGTTAAGAGGTTCAATAATTACAATAATGGTACACATAAGGATATCTCCAAACTATTTTACGACTTATGCGCAATATCTTATCTTCTTATCATAGTATCATGGATATTACTACTGATAACTTTTCGACTGTTCTAACAGCCATTCAAATTTCGTCATTTTGTGTCATGTGGAACAATTTCACCCAATCATGTCAACATTAGACTGATAATTGCATTCAGTGCAAGTTTCAATCCCTATGACAACACGATCGAGTTTGACACCTTCATCCAAATAAATTTCAAAATGTCACGTTGTTAATAATTTTAAATTAAAATTAAATTTTAATAATTGTACTTTCACTAACTCTACTTTTAATAAATAAATGTTTCGTTATGTTGAGTTATGATTTTTTTTTTTCGAAAAACTATCCGTCGAATATCCCTCGGACATTTATGAATGCCTCATAATTTCATGACAAATTTCTCAAGCTCATTGCTTGGTAACAGCACTCAGCCTTCGGCTTCGTGCTGTTACCAAGGAACGAGCTTTCGATTGTCATGAAATTATCTCGTCTTTTATCAATTTCCTAGGGATATTACTACTGATAATAGTAAATATAAAATTATTATTGCTGACCACAGGCACGATGCTGCAAACCTGGTAACTACCTCGTGTTCGAAAGAGGGAAACTTAATCCATTCATAACTAGGATAAAATAAACAATTCAGTTCGAAACGATTAAGTATGTCGGAATTATATTTGACATAAAAGTCGTAGAATCCACACTTTGTAAATATTTCCATTACAGCAAAAACGACACTTTCCACGTAGGCTTTATGGCAAAATGTGTGGTGTGCAAGTAAGCAAGCAATTTAATGGAACCCAGCCTGCTCACCCCTTAGAATTACATTTGGGTGTAACAAGTCATTGAAGTGAGGTTTATTCATTCGTGTGTAAATAGGAATAACTCCACCGCACTTTAATACTTCAGACTATCCCTTTTCCCCCTATAACACTCTGATACGCGATAGGGACACAACTACCAGCCAAACACTGTTTATGTGGGAGACCTAAGTACTAGAACTCCAACATGGTACCCTATCCGACACAAATTCAGGCTATCGTTAGGCGCTTAAGGGCCGGTTCTACAATCCAGGTATAAACTGGAGAATAATTATTCTGAGTATAACTTATACTTGAGTTTATTCCAAGTATAACCTTTCGGGCGTTCTACATTGTGAAATCGACAGCGGAATAGTTATTCTGGGTATAACCACAGAACACTAAGTTAAAACGAAATAGTAGATCTGATATCTTCAAAATTAGTTCAAATTGTTATTGACAGCGACATTTGGCATTTGTCATAACTGTAAAATTTGTATACAATTGAAAGGAATTGAATAATTGATTCGCTTTATCTGGTATTTTATCTACGTTTATATTATTATACTTTACAAAATTAATATAAAATGGATAAAAAAAGATGTAAAATTTCCTTCTTAAATTTTTTATTATCATCAACTGACATTAGTGTTACAATATAATAACCAAAATTATGTAAATATATCTATATAGGTACTCCACATTTTAAACAGGTATGAATATTGGATTACAAAATATATAATTTTAGTTAAAGAAATGTTTATATAATACAGATTCTAGAATTACAGTCTCTGTTATCACAACATTAAAAAATATATTACCTTGTTAAGATTATACCTATACTATATTAGTCATATGTGTAGACATTATTAGATTCCATACATATCCTAAAATTTTAGAATTGAAATAATAAATGCTTTCTTTTTCCTTTGGATTGCCTAATAAAATTTCCTTTGGATTTACAATCTAAAATGTTTTGCAATATCAAAAATTTTATTTTATATATAAAAACAAACAAAGTGAGGTTAAAATATTACAGATTTGACAACCCTTGACCGACCAATAGAAATGCGGTATAAATTTATACTGAGTATATCTGCTAAACTTTGGAGGGATAAAGTTATTCTACAGATATACTCCGATTATCTTATTCCTAGTTTATTCTTTGTTTGTAGAACACCATTAATGAAGTTATTCCAAGTATAACTTTATTCTCAGTATATACTAGCATTGTAGAACCGGCCCTTAGTCGTGTAACCTTCTTTTGACTTGTCTGCAAAACTAAAATTGCTTACTTGGGCCTTAAGTCTCCGCTCTGGGCTGCGCCCAGTTGAGAGACCTGGTTCTTAAAGATCTGGGCACTACGTGCCCAGATCCTCGTTAAATCGTTAAACCTGAGGCCTACACTGTGCTGCGTTTATCTACGTATGTATAGAGTGAAATCTAAAATCATCTATTTATCGTATCTTATTATACGATATATTAGATTCATCATTAATTATGCTCCTCTGATTTGGTAAAAAAAATAAATTAATTGCTGTAAGGAAAAATAAACTTGTAATTGAAGTCAATGTTGTATCGCTAGTTATCAGATTTCTGATTTCTGATTTTCTGCCAAAAAGAAAATTGCTGATAGCAAAATTTCAAAATTTTGCTAAAGAAGGAACGTCTTTTATCGCGCCAGAACCATTCTGCAGGCTGCCGTATATCAGAAAGTCGCATATTGATAGATGTCCATAGGGACACAATTTAATACAGCCTACTGAGAAAATATTCTTGTTTAAAAACAGGCAAAATCACCAGTACTTACAGGTTTGAAAAACTTACCTCTTATTAAAAGAGAATTTAGTTTAGAGAACCAGACTCCAAACAGAGACAGATCAGCTTAGGATAATTCGTGAAACACAATTTGGCTTCAGAGCATAGCACTTCAGCGAATATCAGTACTCTGACTAACCGAATACATTGCAGGTAGATTCAATAATAAACAATATACAAGAGCAATATACAAGACAATATTCAAAACCCCTGGAATCGAATCTACTTAAATACAATATTGATGCACTGCAAAACGACTCGACATCATTCTTATATAAGCTGCGACTTAGCCAAAAATTGGCAAAGCTGATCTACTCCTCAGCCCAGAATACCTATAAAGAGATAATCAATAAAATCAATGAAGCAGCTTACGAAGCGCTGCGCACAATCCAGAAGAACAAAACTAATACTCCATTGTGGTGGACAAATGACATCGCCAATGCAGTACACAACAAGAAACAAGCATATCAAAAGTGGCTACAAACAAATGATCCAGATGATAGACGAACATATGCAAGATCAAACAGAGAAGTAAAAAATTTAGTAACTAAAGAAAAAATATTTCCTGGGAAAGTAAACGCGAAGAACTCAACAAATATATAGGGTCAACAAGATCAAGAGAAGCATGGAAAACGGTAAAAAATCTGAGAACAAACAGAAAAGAAACGAGTAGAATAGATTTAATAGAAGAAAGATCTTGGATCGAACACTACTCACAATTTTTGACTGAAACAAGGCCTCAATTCACGAATATCAGTACAACAAGATATGAACTGAAATTCAGTGAAGACGATGAAATAACAATACAGGAAGTCGAGAATGCATAACGAACTTTAAAAAATCGGAAGTCATGCGGACCACAAGGTATACCAAATGAATTATTAAAACATAGCCCACAAGTATTACGGGAATTACTGGCGTATGTCTTCACCTTATTCTATAATGGACACGACTTACCACCGAAGTGGACAAAAGCACATATTAACAACATCTACAAAAAAGGAGATAGAAAGAATTGCTCAAACTACAGGGGGCTAAGTGTCATAAACTCACTTTCAAGACTTTATGGAAAAATTATAAAAAATAAAATTGAAACATAGATGACAGATGTAAAAGAACAGAATGGCTTTCGTGCAGGCAGATATTGTATGGACAGTATATTCTCTCTAAAGCAAGTTATCGAGAAAAGATTAGCCCACAACCTTTCAACTCATATAGTCTTTATAGATCTGACAAAGTCATACGATAGTGTGACGAAAGGCATACGATCTGACAAATGCTTTGGGTAGCAATGGAAAAACAAGAAATAAGCAAAATAATATACAAGCAGTACAACAGCTCTACATAAATATGAAAGCAAACATTAAAACTGAAAATAGATTAACTAGAGAAATTCCTATTAGTAAGGGGCTAAAGCATGGCTGCTGCATAGCACCTACACTTTTCAAAATATATCTAAATGAGGCACTCTCACTGTGGAGAAGAAAGTGCTGTAATATGGGCATCCCAATCGGAGATGATAGATTGTACACGATACACTTCGCTGACGACCAAGCCATTCTAGCTGAAGATGAGAGTAATGTAGGATACATGCTTAGAAAACTGGAAGATGAGTACACCAAATGGGGCCTCACAATTAATATACAAAAAACTGAGTACTTAGTTGTATGAGAGAAAGCAGAAAGCCTACAAATCGAATGCCGGAAAATAGACGGCAAAAAAAATAGAAGAATGAACTCCGTCAACTAGAAGAAAACGAGGCAGACCAAGACAATCCTGGAGAGACGATGTCGACGATGCAATGACCGATAGAGATCTAACAACTGAAGATTGCTTCGACAAAAAACGCTGGAAATTAGGATGCGAGAAGCGGCGCCAGCTGTAGAAGACTCGCTTGTTATATATATATATATATTATATATATATATATATATATATATATATATATATATACAAGAGCTGCCTTCCTGGATGTAAGTAAAGCTTTTGACAGAGTATGGCATCCAGGGCTAGTATTTAAAATAAGAGGATATGGATACAGCAGGGCCATGGCAAGACTGACCTCTTACCTTGGCGACCGGAAGTTTGAGGTCCGAATAAAACGAGTTCTATTCAGACGATTCGAAGATTAAGAATCGATTTTGGCGATTAAGAATCAATTTCCGGGATAAACAAATTGACTAATTTATAAACTAGTTAGTCGATCTCCTTGAAATTTGGCTTACTTTAATAACTCCATAACTGCTACAATTTTGAGTATAGAACATCCCAGAGGTACTTTTCAGTGCGTCACAGTTTTTCGACGTCTTTCTAATGCATTAAGTTGGATGTGACGGAGAAAGCGGTAGGTCCGTGATTAAACAGAACTATATTGCAGCGTCAGAATAAGCTTACATACATAAGCGGTTCTTTCCTAACCTACGTTTGATTCGTTGATATTTAGATGCGCGCTTTCTCTAGCCAATCAAATACGCCTATTACTAATAGTTGACGTAAAACTTCGTCCATGCTGGCCATTCTTTCGAAGTGTTCCAACAGCAACTGATGGCTGTCGTTCAGGTCAGTATTTGCAAAGAATATAGACGCTATATAATATATTTTATATTCTTTGGGATTTGTATTGTATAATTTTATTTTGTATTTTGTTTTACATAGTATTGTGATTGTGGTTTTAATAATAATAATTTTCTATTACACTGACATTCAAATTCTACTTTTCAAAGTTTTCAATAAACTATTATTATTACACATTAGTGAATAAATAGTTTTTATGATTCGAATTATATTTTATTTAGAATTATTAGAATTATATATTAATTTAGAAGTTGCCTAATAAATTTTTGAAAACAGTCTTTTTTGTGTTACTTATACTATGGCCAAAAAGAAGTAGTGAGAATAGAAGAAATAACATCAGAAGTACAAAGAGTTATTCGACAAAGGTGTATACATACACCAGTATTATTTAGTATGTATACTCGGAAGACATATTAAGTAAGAATTAATGAAACGTAGATATTAGAATTAATGACATGATCATAAATAACCTGAGATACGCTCATGATACAGTTCTTTTAGCCGAATCACATGAAGACCTACAGATACTTCTTAATTAGGTGACCGCAGTAAGCGAAGAAGAATATGGACCATCCTTCAATAGAGCAAGAAATACATGATAATAACAAAGACAACTCAGGACATTCGTAAGATATAAGTACAGAATCAGCCTATTGAAATAGTTAGAGAATTTAAATACCTAGATACCACTATTAATGAAAACAATGACAGCTCTCAAGAAATACGAATCAGAATCAAACAGGCCAGAAGCGCATTTACAAGAATACAACGGCTTCTCTTCTGTAGAAACTTAAACCTTAAGTTAAAAATTCGACTGCTGAGGTGCTACGTGCTATCCGTATTATAATACGGGGTGGAAGAATGGACACTGAATAAAATTCACGTGAGGAGACTGAAGGCATTCGAGATGTGGATGTACCGAAGAGTACTAGAGATCTAATGGGTAGATGGAATAACCAACGTTGAGGTAATGTGACGTATGCATAAGAAAAGAGAAGTACTAACAATTAAGAGGAGAAAAGTGGGATATATGGGTCATGTGACGAGAGGAGATAAATATCTAATACTCCAGGTCATTATGCAAGGAAAAATACGGAGAAAAAGAGCCATAGGAAACAGACGTAGCCCATGTACTAACGACTTATTTAGAGCCACTGTCTCAAAATTAAAAATCGCTGTGATGATTGCCAACTTTCGACGCGCCGACAGCCCCTTGAGAAGAAGAAGGTACAAAAATTCAGTAAATGAATCATTTTGTCGTCAATTTCGAATGTTTCCATATTTATAAATTTAATAAACAATATTGTTTACTTTATATTTTTATTAATATACGGGATTACCCCATGTTGCTAAGTACGATCCTGGAATCTGTCAGATTCTTCAATAATTATATGAAATAATGCTCGACACACCTAATTCATTCTATGACGTCATAATTAATGACGCACTGAAAAGTACCTCTGGGATGTACTTTAGTTACATTACATGTAGTTACGCAAAAAAAAACAAAGTTATTACCATTTATAAATTAGTACAAAAATAAGGGTTTTTTTAAAATTATCTTGGTCAATTGTTTAGGTATGTATTTTATTTTGAAAACTTTAAAAATAAAGAACTTTTTATGATCTACAACTTTATTTGAAATATTCTTTCTAGCAGGTAGAAGAAACTTTTTATGAGCGAAAAATTGTGTTTTTCACTTTTAAAGATTGTTAAAAAACGAAACAAAATCAGATGTACGTCTTCACGGATTTTTCATCAGCTACCCCTCATTTCGAACCTTCAAATATCTGTATAAGATTTTGTCAGCTTTTTTGCACCCTTGACGGGGGGTACTGAATAGTAAAAAGAAACAGTAGCAAAACAATTTTAACATTATTCTTGAGTTTCAATAAATTTAAAAATAAGATTTGCGCTCGCTGAGTCAAATATGAATAATTTCACAAATCGCGAACATGTCGGTATTTCTCCATTCTCTTGAATGAACAACTCTATCTTCTAATAACTCTCAGGTTGATGGTCTGCTGATCATATTGCACCCATCATTATGTTTTGTAACAATAATCAAAATTTATGGACATAATATTTACAAAAAATTTTGCAAACCAACTTCACATAATATTTCGTCGTAGCGCGTTAATATAAAAAAAATATGTAATTTCTAAATATACATACTTCAATTTAAAAATGTAATAAATTCGTAAAATACCTACAACGAGTACACCTAGGAGGTAATTTGAAGATATTTTTCATATAAAGTCGGATGATATTAACAGTCATATTTAAAAATTCAGTAAAACTCACCAGGGTATGGCAGAAGTTTGGCGAGAAGGGTATTTTCTTCAAAATCTTTAATATCAGGAAGCTTCATTTTATGGTATGCACAGAAGGCTCTAGCTTGAGATTGTGTAACCTAAAACCAGAAAATAAAATTTTGTATACGTAGTGATATACTAATTTATAAATTAATAAAATAATTGATAAAATAAATAAATTGTTCTTCTTCCTCTTCATAAGCAATTCTACTTGTTCATTGGCGGATTAATGCCTCTATGGAAGATTGTCACTTAATCTTTTGTGCGGTAGTCCGATAGTTCTTCTGCCGACTGGTGATTTATCTCTTGCTATTGCTTGCTAAGTCTACCCCGTTCTGTTAATGTGATTATTCCATTATTTTTTCTATTTAATGTCCATTCGTTTATACACTGTACGTTACATTTTCTTCTAATGTCTTCACTTGTCTTTTGATCTCTCATCGTATGTTCTGTAATTCTTCTCAGTACTCTCATCTCTGCAGTTTTCAGTAGCCTTTGTATTTTTCTTTTTTATACTATGTTGTGGCTGTGTCGGGTTTTATTTCTGAGGCATATGCCATTATTGGCCTAATACTGGCTTTATAAATGAGTTTATCTGTGTTAAAGTGTGTGTTTCGCCCCGTATAGTATTATTAAGGCATCTTGCCAGTCTATTTGCTTTTTGTACTTGATCTCTCACTTCTTTGTCCAGGCCTCCATAGCCGGACAGTATAATTCTAAGGCATTTTAATTCTATTACTTGTTTAATACTGATGTCATAAATTTTTATTTTACATCTGATTAGTTCTTTGCTGATTACTATTTTTTAGTATTCTAAAATGAGATTGTCATATTAAATTCTTTTGCTCTTATGTTAAATTTGTTGACCATTCTTTGCAGACTATCTTCATCTTGAATATCAATATTGCATCGTCTGCGTAAAAGAATATGTTTACTTCTTTGTTTCCCATTCTGTATCCTCTTGCTTTGTTGACACTTTTTAACATTCCATCCATGATTATATTAAAGAGCATAGGGCTCAATAAGTCCCACTGTCTTCTTCCTTTGCATATTTTTATAGGTTCTCTAAGATGCCCGTTTATTCTGACTTCCGTTTTGTTGTTTTAATAGATGTTTTCAATAGTTTTTATGTTATGGGTACTTTTCTATTATACAGAAGATAGATAACGTCTTTTAGTCATACTCTGTCAAATACTTACTTTAAGTCGATCAAACACTGAAATGCTGGTTTATTATACTCTAGTAATTTTTCAGTAATTTGCTTAATGACAAATATTGCATTTGTACACGATCTTCTAGTACGAATATGTTGTTCATCAGCTTAACTTTTCCTCTGGTTCATTAGTTCTTGTAAAATTTTAGTTGTAAGTTTTAGGGTAGTATTTAACAAGATTATACCTCTGTAGCTTTCTGGCTGATCAGCTTTTTTGAATATTAGAATTAGTTCGCTTGTTCTAAATTCTTCCCGTATTTTATTTTGTTTTGTAATTTTGTTAATTAATATTGTTAATTTTTCTGTCATTATTACTGCTCCACAATATTTTAATAAGTCGTTTGGTATCCCGTCTTTACTTGCTGCTTTTCTGTTCTTCAGGTTTTTAAGTATTTTACGAACTTTCTGTACATTTATATTAAGTTCTTCATTTGTGGTCATTTTTGGTGTTTCGGGTTATAGCGTCTTTTGTTCTTCCTCTGCATAGAGTTTTTCTAGGTAGTCAATCCATGTATCCTTTTTTATTTGTTTTGGTTGTATTAGTTCTTTTACCTCTTATAAAGCGCCATATTTCCTTTTGCAGACCAAAAAATCATGTTTCAATTCTTTCAAAAAGCGTTCCCAGTGATCATTTTTTATTTTTGTTACAAGTGCATGTGTTTCGTTTCTAATTGTGTTGTAAGTACGGTTTGCTTCTTGTATTTTGGTTAACATGTGTTTCAAGTAAGTTTTTTCTTTGTTTACATTTTTCCTTCACTTCTGTACCAAACCATGGAGTTTTTCCCTTGAGAACGATTTATTTTTACTTATTTTTTTTATATTTTTTTTCACCAAGAACTTCCTTGCTCGAGGCTAAGATGTTGGACTTAATTTTTGCCCAGCTTTCTCCGACTTAATCACTTTCTGTGATTTATGTGTTTCTGCATTTTTTTCTTATTATTTTTGGACTAGGTATCCTGTGAAGTCATCTTTTAAGCTTAGCACTTTTTTTGTGGGGTATTCTGATGTTTTGTTATCACATTGTGTGTTTTTATTCGGATTTTGCACGATACCAATTTATGATTCGTATTTCTGCTGATGTTAGTGCTCTTACATACAAGATTTGAGTGGGGTGTAACTCAACAACAAAATATAGTCTATCATAGATCTTTCTTCTCTTGTGTTTTTAGAGGTGTATTTTTATTGTACTTTGAAACGGAAAAATGTATTATTTATACATATGTCATTTATGTGGCAGAGGTCCGTCAGAAGATCTCCGTTTGAATGAACGCAGAAATGAATTATTAACTGCACAAAAATTTTATCGAAATTTTAGCTAAATCGAATAAAAGTACTTGGACTAACGCTGCAAATTGTGCAAAAATTCCTTTGCGAAACTACTGTTTAAAATGTCAGACTTATGTCTTTTAATGAACACGGTAGTCTATTAAAGACAAACAAGATGAAAACTTTACGTAGGCATTTTTTGGAGTTATATTAGTTTTTAAATTTGTGTTAGATTATAGACAGTGTTACTCTTCTTCTTTGTGTGCCGTGCTTGTATTCAAGCGTTGGCTATCGTCATATTGACAAGCTGATGAAATGATTCTCAGTCGGCAGCTAGATGAAACAGTTCCTCGACCGTTCGACCTGTCCATTGTCTAATGTTACGCAGCCAGGACAGTTGTTTTCTTCTTACCCAACGTTTTCCTTCGATTTTGCCCTGAATGATTAACTGGAGTGATTAATAATACACTTGAAATCGTAGGCTTCCACGGCCAGAGTCAGAATTATAGTTTATTCGTCTTCCGGGTTTGGACCGTGTCATTTGTGAGTGACCCAAAAGTGGGTTCATCTCGACGTTTCGCTACAATTGTATGTAGCTTCTTCAGGAGAACAAAAAAAAGAAAAAAGAAAGAAAGAAGAAAACAAAAGAACAGGAAAATGGGTAGTTAGCAACGGTAACTCAGTTACTCAACACAACCAGAGGCGAATACTAACTACCAAGATGGGCATTTGGTCACAGTAACTCAACTACTCAACGCAGCCAGAGGTGAAAACCAAATGCCAGGACAGGGATTCACGTCCAACAGCTCAGAACACTAACGCGTCGAGAGGCGGGGAGTGAATCCGAAGATTACTACGCTACCGCTCTATTTATAGTCGCGGTGCCTGTCGTGTCGGGACGTATCGGCACACTTCGTAGCGCGAACGTCAAGAAGCGCGCGCTGGCCAATCATGTGGCTGCATCGTGGTGGCGGGACCGGACGGCGGTTTTAGACTGAGATTCCAGATGGGAGACAAGTAGTATCCTTCCTCTCGGTTGATATTATGGGGATTTTTTTCTCTCCGGATTCACTCCCCGCCTCTCGACGCGTTAGTGTTCTGAGCTGTTGGACGTGAATCCCTGTCCTGGCATTTGGTTTTCACCTCTGGCTGCGTTGAGTAGTTGAGTTACTGTGACCAAATGCCCATCTTGGTAGTTAGTATTCGCCTCTGGTTGCGTTGAGTAACTGAGTTACCGTTGCTAACTACCCATCTTCCTGTTCTTTTGTTTTCTTCTTTCTTTCTTTTTTCTTTTTTTGTTCTCCTGAAGAAGCTACATACAATTGTAGCGAAACGTCGAGATGAACCCACTTTTGGGTCACTCACAAATGACACGGTCCAAACCCGGAAGACGAATAAACTATAATTCTGACTCTGGCCGTGGAAGCCTACGATTTCATTTGACCAACCTCTACGGGGAGGTTATATTCCGCAAAACCTCAGAGTTCTCCAATCTTCGCTCTAAAGTTTCATCTCTACTTTCTTCGCTCACCTTCCTCTCTAGATGTCGTGATAATAACTTGGTTCCCAATTTTCTTGTTCTAAAACATCACATTTCCTCTTCATCTTCTTCCCGAATTCTACATCGAGCCAGCCTATCTCTACTTCGTGAACGGATTCAACATATTCGAAAAACCCTTAATTTTCAATCCCAAAAACTTTTTAAGCTGCATCTTGAACTCTCCAGTATTCTTAGTGCCGATGATTGGTCACTTTTAGACCGCATTTCCTATCATCAAGCCGATAAAATCCTTCTTCTAAGCAACGAAACTCACAAAAAGAAATTCCAATCCCTTGTATCTAAGAAGAAAAAATCACATTCCACCACTTCTACTTCTCATTCACCTCTCACTAACACCGTCGTTAATCTTTCTTCTCACCAATTAACAAGTGCAGAAAGCAGTCTTCTATCTAAAGGTCTTAATTTTGCTATCACTCCTTCCAGAATTCCTACCGAAGAAATAGTTTCAAATGTGGAAGCGGCACTCCGCACAATTCCCAAAATTTCAGCCGACCGTATCCGCTTTGACGTCGCTAAATGTCTTGATACAGCCAAAATCCCTACTTCCAATATATCTCGTGAGGAATTCATAGCTCTCAAAAATCTCCGTTCTCTTTCTGAGATAATAATCCTTCCTGCAGACAAAGGTAATGCCACAGTCATCCTGGATACTCCTTCCTACATAGAGAAAGTAAACGACTTACTTAGGGATACATCCTGTTATAATACAATTTCTCGAGACCCCACTCTTAGAGTCGAACGCGAAATTGCCCATGTCATCAAACAATCCGATCTTTCCGATGATATTAAGAAGTCCATAGTTCCGAAAAACTCCATCTGCCCCAGAATTTATGGTCTTCCCAAAATCCATAAAGATAACGTACCTCTTCGTCCCATTGTGACTACGATTAACTCTCCTACCTACAAACTCGCAAAGTACTTGTCGAATCAGTTTAAGACCTATACTGGTCGTACCTCTTCTTATGTCCGAAATTCCACACATTTCATCACCTTAATCTCCTCTCTCACAGTCGATCCCCAAGACATTCTCGTCAGTTTCGATGTATCATCCCTATTTA